CCCCCCACCCACCCAAACTAAGCCATGAGGAAACCCCGCAGAGCAGCCCTAACAAGACTCAGCTTCCCAGGCTAACGTTGTTAGCATGCTTCTGAGGTTCTATGTTGCCGGGCTCTTTGTCTGAAAAGAGCGGGGGGTACAACCCCCCCCCCCCGCCGCCCCCCTTTGCTGTCCCCCCAGCTCAGTGCAGTGAGGGAGGATTCCAGACGCTCCCACAGGAGATGGGACCCCCCCGCGCCCTCCCAACACTCCAGGCAGCAAGCTTCAGAATGAGAGATAAGCTCACCAATGAGAATGCAGTTTGGTCGCCTTTTCTCCAACCCCCCCGATAGGCCCCAGCGCTGCGGCTGATTTCCCTGCTCCCCACAGCCTGTTCTTTGCATTTCTGAGAGTCTGCTCTCCTGACACACACATCAAAGTCTGCGAGGTGGACGTCTTCTCTCCGTGTTAAACTACAGACCCAGTATACACGCAAGATTTGAAGTACCAGTAATGTAATTTGTGACAGATTTTTTTGTGTATAAAGAAATCCACCCATCTTCGGCTTATTCTAGACACAGTCATGGTTATATAAAGAACTACTTGTATATTTAACTTGTATATTTAATACACAAATAGAAGCACAAGAATGTAATTACCATGTCTACATAATCAGCATAAAAGTGTTTCATCTGATACTCTTTTCTTGCAGATGTTTCATGTCTTGGGGATTACAGCATACCGCGCTAATTATGTTACTGAAAAATACAGAGAGTGGGTAATTATGTTTACAGAATCTAATGTGTCTAAGTTAATCTGATGTTAAACTGTTAACCAAAAAGTTGTTAAGTCAGAGTGTGTGAGTGTCTTGCGTGACTAAACTCCCTTTTCACTGACTCGCTCAGCCATGAGGGGTGTCTGTGTGACAGTGACCTAGCTGTGGGTGACAGAGGAGGACCAATACAGCCACTGTGGGTGACAGAGGAGGATCAATACAGCCAGTGGGTGACAGAGGAGGACCAATACAGCCACTGTGGGTGACAGAGGAGGACCAATACAGCCACTGTGGGTGACAGAGGAGGACCAATACAGCCAGTGGGTGACAGTCACCATGATTCTGTAATGATGCCTTCATTTCGTTAACATGAAAAAGCACTCTGCCATGTCTCGACTTACACAGATGTCCAGCGGATTCTGATTGGCTTAGCCGCCAAATAATGTGTTTGCACCAAAGTATAGATGTAAGCTAATGTGTTAAGTCCGCACTGAGTGTTTGTTACGGTTTTACAGCCCCTCTCTGCTATGTCTTTTTGCAGGTTGCATTCAAGATGTTATCAGAGAGGTCATAAATATCAGTAATGGAACCCAGTGATCAGGTGTTCCATCCAACAAGGAGAACTCAGCTGGAGGGAGCGGATGTGTGTGCAGAATAGCTGTATCGTTACGTCACGCACCGAGAGAGAGGAACCCAGACCAAAGGCACAACTGCAGTTCTGGGGACTTCAGGCTTGCTGTGCAGTTCTGGGATTGTCGCTCTAACCAGGTGTGATAAGCAGCCTCAAGTCACCTGCATTTATACCACAGATATAAGGCATGATTCTGCAACCCAACTTCCAAAAAAGTTGGGATGCTGGGTAAAATGTGAATAAAAACAGAATGCAATGATTTGCAAATCGTATAAAACCATATTTAATTGAAAATAGAACGAAGACAACATGCCAAATGCTGTATCTGAGAAATGTTATCTTTTTATGTCAAATATAAGCTCAATTTGAATTTGATGCCAGCAACACGTTTAGAAAATGCTGGGACAATGGCATGTTTACCATGGTGCTGCGTCACCTCCTCTTCTAACAACAATATGTAAATGTTTGGGGACTGAGGAGACCAGTTGCTGGGGTTTTGAAGGTGAAATGTTGTCCCATTCTTGCCTGATATAGGCTTTGAACTGCTCAACAGTTCTGGGTCTCTTTTGTCATATTTTTTGTTTCATGACGCACCAAATGTTTTCAATGGGTGACAGGTCTGGACTGCAGGCAGGCCAGTCTAGCACCCAGACTCCGACTATGGAGCCATGCTGTTGTAATACTTGCAGAATGTGTTTTGGCATCGTCTTGCTGAAATATACAAGGCCTTCTTTGAAAAAGATGGATGGCAGCACATGACACTCAAACATTTTTGGAACAAATGTTTTTATAAAATGAATCTAAACTTGGTACATTTCTGGCTTTTGTAGTGTGTACCTGACAAATTAACGAGTTCTGCAAGTATTGGCAGTGTTCACATTTTATGAATTTTACAATGGCAGACAGCAGACTGCAAGGCAGATATGGGCATCCTAGTTCAACTTCCTAAAAGAACATTACTGTTGTTTCTGGCTCTATACATTTCTCTAGACTCCAGGCAGTCTTCTCAGTATGTCCATGATACCATATAGACAGATTCCCTCCCCTAACATCAGTACTGTATACGGCTAGGTCCAAAAAAGATACAGACCTTACTACACTTTCAAGAGTCTTTACCTTGACCTGAAGGTAATCGTAGGCCAGTGTTTGCCTTAGTCAAGTAAGAAATGGTTAATCAACATCTTTTCTTTTCTTTCGCTCTGCTCAAAATCAGTCGCAGTTATGCGATTGTGCTATCCCAGCAAAATTAAATTAAAAACTAAACGGCCCATTACCCTCGCTTTCAGATGCATCATAACTCACCCTGCAATGTCAGTCCCTCCAAGGCCCTTTGGGGTTCTGCATGTCCAACTTTCCAAAACATTTCCTTAATGTGATTCCTCAGAAAACCAAACTGACAGCCCAAATGAGATGACTATACTAACAGCAATCATTGAATGGGGAAGTCTTACATACCACACAGCTGCTATATATTACAGACTTTATTTGCCCAGAATGGTGACACTAGCATTCAGCAGTGGTTTCATCTCTTCAAGATCCCAGCTACCACCACCCATGGGCCCAGAGTTCCTTAAACTGGTGTAAACTGATGTGGGTCACAATTCCCTTTCAGTACTGGGAGGTGTTTCCCTGCAGCACAGCCATAATCACACCTCTTGAACTTCCAGAAGCCATGTGAATATCCTGTGCAGCGGGAAGATCCAGGAAACAGAGAGGGCCTCTTCAAATACAGCGCTCCCATGTTGTAGCTTAGCAGCTATAGAAGATCTCGCATTCAGGGCTCCAGAGAACTTCCATTGGGAGCTGGTGATGATGAGCGATGGGGAATTTGAGGGATGAGAGTGCTTGTATCCAGAAAACGACAAACAAAAATCATGTGATGTGACTTTGGGATGAGGGACCTGAGATCCACCTTAATAAGATGCAACTGCCTCAGATAGTTAAATGCAGCCCACAGCCCCATGGGAAACGAAACGCAACAGATGTCTTAAGCCCAGTCTGAACCCCACAGAGACCATGAAAACAAGAGGCTATTTTCCTTAATGAGCAAAAGATTGTTTTTTTTTTCCAGCTCTCTGGAACTACTTTCCAATGTGGCAGTGGAATGCCGTTATTGTCAGTACAAGTCCCGCCCATTGTCCAGCTAATTCCAAAAGAATGGTCCATCAAGAAACCTTCAGAACTATTTTTATAGGTATTGAAAAACGCTGTAATTGTAGGCACCACTATAAAAATAAAATATGAATGTTTTTCTCACTTGTGAAATGTGAACTGATATGCTCATCAAAAACCGTTAAGATGACAGAACACAGATGGCTTGGAGGAGAGAGAAGGGGCTTTTATTACCTTTGAATGCTTTGAAAGCCTTTGCAGGGTAATCCTTCTGCTCTTTTCCTATCATTTACTCAGCTTTTAGTGTCATGTTATGATTAAGTTCTCAGACAGACATTTGCCGTCCCGACAGAGTCGAGTTGCTGCTTACTCCAGCCTCCTAGCAATTTGAATGTTTTCCAAGGATGCAAAATAAACGAACCGAGCAGAACTGGGTGGGGTCACACATGAGGTCAGACATTTTCTGGCACATAAATGATCCCTTGAATTTCTATACCTTGTCTCCTTCCCTGGAATGGTGGGGTGGTTTATTTAAAAAACAGCAGTGGACTCGGCAATCTTTCAGAAAAAGACGGCTTCATCCTGAAGACTGAGCGTACTGTCATCATGTATTCATGTGGATGCTGAAACCAGTTTGGCCTGTTTACACACAGCCATGCTGACATAGTCTTCCTGGTTAGAGTCCCAGGTAGCAGGTTAGTGTAATTCTGATTCTCTCTCCTGTAAAATTGCCTGGCTGTATAAATGTGTAAAAACATACTAAGGAATGGCAGTAAGCAAATACACATTTATGAAAATCAAACAGTGTCATTGTCACTTCTGTGCTGCTCATGAGTTGGATTAAGCATATTTGAGAAATATTTGGTAACACTTAAAGCAGTCATGTATTGAAAGTACATTAAGTATTATAAATATGGCTATAACTATTTATAAAAAGGCATAAGGCATTATAGCCATGTGTATTATGCATTATGTATGCTTTATGAAGCTCTCATCTATAATGCACTATAGATACCTTCATAATGCAGTACACAGCATCCTTAATTCTTATACTGACCATTATAATGTATTATGAAGGTATCTATAGTGCATTATAGATGAGCTTCATAAAGCATTCATAATGTATAATAAACATGGCTATAATTTGTAATGCCTTTATATAAATGTTTATAGCCATGTTTATAATACTTCATGAATGCATTATAATGCATTATGATGACTGCTTTAAGTACAGTGTTACAAAATATTTCTGTAATAATAACAAGCACTGTGTGTGAATAGTTCAAATAACAGATCAAGGCTTCTTTTGCCATTTGGAGCCCAGCCCTGATGTGACATGGAAACGGCTTGGAAAGAAGGTGAAAACGTCTTTGTGTGCATCTCAGAGCTCTTGTCTGCTACACCCAGCTCGCTGGCATTCGCTCCAGGAACACCCAGGGACCTTCTGGGAGACTTCATAACAGTCCCACACCACTTAATATCTTCTTTTCAAAAATCTTTCATCAGGCAAAAACATGCACGTGTTCTTCGAAATAGCTGCAGTTAAGTATGTTGGGTGTCATAAAAAAGTAGCTGAAGCAATAAATGAATGTTTCCCATCGCTCACCTGTCAGATTAAATGATACTGCTCCCCCCACACCCCCGTAAGGCTCTTCAGTTCACACCACCCCGAAAAATCACTGGCATTTTTATCCTACGTCCCCTTATGACCGCTTGTAATAAATGTTGTGTTGAAAGGCATCAAAGGGCAACGCGACCAGCAGACGGCGGGACCGCGATCCTCGCTTCGTACCGGGCTTCATTAACTCCGCCGGTGGCAGATGGGTCCCGGCTGTATGTCAGTCCGGCTCCTCATCTGCCCCCCGCCCCCGGCTCCGGGGGTAATGCGAGCCGACACCCCTCATCGGCGGGCGGAAGCATCGCCGCACGCTGTCGAGTGTAGCAGGTCGGCGCGGGGATCTGATCTCCGCCAGAAGCCAAACTCCGCTGCTCTGCGATTGTTTTCACACAGTGTAGATCTAATTTCACAATGACAATTATAGAAGGGCACTTGACCAGATGCCCATTAGTTGTAGCTGCATATCTCCGAAAAAAAAACACATTTTTTTTTAACTCTTAACACAAGACATGTGTGTTCTTTTTGTACCTCAAGCGTTTGCATATAAATCGTCTAAAGCCCAGGCCGTGGCAGTGATAAAAGCAGGTGGTTTTGTGCTTGCAGATCCGATCCTCCACTGCGCAGATAGCAGCAGCGACTCACCTCCCCTGAACCCTCTCCCACCGGGATCAATCCCGTCACGGCAGCAGCCTCTGCAGCTGGAGAGCGCGTCCGCTGCAGTGCAGGGAGATTTAGCCCCCTGGTGGCAGAAGAGCAGCGCTACATGCATGAGCTACACAGAAAAAGGTACCTGCCCGAACGAGATGTCAGCAGATAATTGGAAACAAACTATCAGGGGAGCCCTGAATGCGAGATCTTCTATAGCTGCTCGTATGCTTTACGAGTTTTCCCGCGGTAATTCTTTAACCTTTGAGCATTACAGACAGGACAGAAATATACAGCACTGTGTGTGGCATATAACACTGCTTGGCACCATGCAGTACAGTATTTACTGCACTGCCAGACACTGCAGCACAAATCAGTGAGCATTCAGTATTCTGTAGCAGTCTGCTGTCACGCCCGGCATCTGACACCCGGTGAAATCAGCTTGGCTTTGGTGGAACGTCTACTTACGAGACAGACCTGAGCTGCAATGCCCCCCTACGCTGACCGAATGTGGGCAGCGTTGCTACGGCAATCCTCCTGGTGGGTCATTCTGTGGGCCTCTAAGGTACAAACAGCAGCAAGTTTGCTCTCTGGCCAATTAACAGCTTCAGGAAACAATCAAAGGTTTATGACAATTCAGGCCATCACCACTAGGGGGAGCTCTCAACCCCATCCGACAGATGATATTTGGAATTTATTTAAAGGCCTATTCGCATTCTTAAACCTCATATTCTGTAGCACTTCCATAAATCAACATCATATATAATGCATAACTTAGGGTGACAACAAAAACTTACTGGATAATTTACTTTCAGGTGAGAGGGTTTCCCATAACGCTGAGTACATACCAAGCGAACAGCAGAAAAACTAGCACCGGCCAATGCTGACGAACGATCGGCTCCCGTTGGCTCCTGTCCCTCCCATCAATTGTGAAAATTTGTGCTGGAACACACCAACGGTGTCAGAGGTGTGTTGATATACAGCACAAATCAGAGAATGAAGTTTCACCAAATAGCTTCAAACACGCTATATCTGCCACCGGCCAAAAATCGGCTTTGTGGGTCCCAGGCATTAGGAACATCACCCTGAACAAACAGCTGTAAGGGTCTCATTTACAGGTCCAAAAAGATTCAACCCCGCAGCCAATTCCACAGCCAGAGGGAATTCTGTAGCCACAGATGATGTCTGGCCATTTTACCGAAGTGTGCGGACAGGACACAAACGAGGTGAGTCAATGACACGCGAGCAGAAGCCATCAACTACAAACGTTGTTTTTATTATTCTTTAAATAAGGTTGAAATAAAGGGGCTATGATAATCCACAGAAAAAGACATGCTTTGTGACTTTAAAAACGTGTTTGTGTAATTTCAGCAGAAATCTATCCAGGTCGTGGAGGGAGAGAAAGTAAGGAGGGGAATCGGGATAATGAAAACACTACGCAGATGAAGCGGACCGGCCCCGTGTCCAGGGTTCGATTGAAAAGCTTGGATCCGCACCCTTTACCGCCTGCCAGCCCTGTAGCCTTTCCAAACAGGCAGCGGCTGGTGTCACCAGATAAAAGCCAAATTGGAACCTGGTCTTTTTATTTACTTTTTACACATTTTATGAAAAAATACTATAAAAACTTCCATTTGAAAAATCCTGGATAAATTTCTACTTCTCAAATGAACATTTGCACAATTTAAAAAGGAAACACACACACACACACACAAAAAAACTATCATCATCAATTCCCTTTGGTAAAAACTGTAATAAACGGTCTTGCATTTTTAATATACGTACTATCTCTTAGCTCCTCTCACTGAAGTCCACAGTAAGGCTGTAAAGTATGCTAGCACATCAATGCAGATCTCCGTAATAAAAAGGTCTGACATTATTTACAGGTTATTTACAATGCACTGGGCAGTGGTGGTGGTGTGGGGGGGGTCCATCCCAACTCCTCCTAGGTCTGGGCTGCACTGTACTGGGGTTTCTGGGCTAGCTTGGTAATATGCATCAGTACACGTCAGAAACTGACATTCACAAGCTATACAATTTACAGTCTGAGACCAGAACTGACAAACGCTCTGATTCAGCTATAACTATTTTTAAAGTTTTTTTCTTTTTTAAATTTTTTTGCTCTATTATTATTTTTTTTTTACAATAGCGACTACAAGTGCTGCCTCACTACCCATAATCCTGTTGGTGTCAGATGTGTCGTCCTTAAGGCAACCTCTCTTCAGAAACAGGTACTAAAAATAGCCAAACTAGTCTTCACCCTGATGCCCGATCTGGAGGCCTGACCTCTGAACACAACTGGAAGCCACCAGCCTGGATGTTGGTGCTCCTTCAGTCTATGCACTTCACACCAGTGAAAGGTGACAAAATTAAAAAATTTCCCCCCAACGCAAAACTCCAAATTAAGTGTACTTCTCCCCAGAACACTTGGCATTAAAATGTATTTCCAAAAAAATTAGGTGATTTTACTCTATTATTTCTTTCTGACTTCTAATCATCCTTTTCACACAAAAGAACTTCCTGGAGGCTTCTTACCAAAGACCTGTGCTGCTACGGCTTTGATGACATCACATCCTGTCAGCCTCAGGAACCCTTCCTCAAGAGGCTGGAAGCCCCGAGGTCACCTGACAGCTGGAGAGATCAGACAGAAGGCGAGGTGGACTCGGACTCACAGGGCGTTTCTCTTGTTTTGGCACCAAGGCCCTGCAAAGGCAGGTACAGCTAAAATGCTGTTAAAAAGTTTTACCGCTGGCGAGCCACAGCACAGTGCGCGTGTCAACATCCTGTGAAAGTTAGTGATGGATCCTCCCTAAATCACCTTCTGCCCCTACTGTGCCCCCGACTGCCTGCATGCCCCCAGTCCCACCAGAACCGCGGCGAAGCCCTACGGCCCTCAGGGGGCCTTTGGCGGAGGGCCGTACGTCACGCGGTATTTGTTGATGCCCATGAAGTGCAGCACCTCCTTCTGGCAGCTGGTGGTACAGGGCAGCAGCCCGTCGTGGCGCTCGCCCATCAGCCAGCGCGTGCAGTGGCTTGCCATCTCCGCTGTCACGTTCTCCTGCACCCAGCCATCCACCCAGGCCTGGAAGCGTTGGTGCAACCTCGTACTCACCCTCTGATGGGACTGGGGAAGGTACAGTGGACAGAGACCAATCACAAATGGCTTTCTTAGCCAGGGCCCTACCAATCAGAAGAGAGAACAGAACGGGGGCAGGTACCTGGTGGGCTCGCAACAGAGCAGTGCGGCGGTACATGTAGTCCTCAGACTTAAAGACGTACACCATCTTGTAGGAGTTCAGCTTGAACATGCACTCCATGTTCTCTGCACCATCCACCACCTTCTTCCCGCCCTCCTTGGCCTCCTTTTCCTGCTGCCCCCGCCCCCGCTGGCACTTCCGTATCCGACGGAGGTTCCTTACGCGGAAGAGACAGATAAGGCCTTCGTGAGGGGGCCCATCCATCTGTAGGTCTCGCGGACCGTCGTACACACATCAAAGGATGCAGAGAAGTGGATCGCGATCCTCTCTGGCAACGAGTCACCG